TACGCCTTAGGAGCTCTGGTAGCATAGTGGCTAAAGCACTTGACTGCTAACCAGAAGGCTGGCAGTTCAAACCCACCAGCCACTCCTCGGAAGGAAGGTGGGGCAATCCTACTTCCATAGTGATACTGCCTCGGAAACCCAAGGAGGGGTCACTACGAGTCGGGGCCGACTCGACGGCACATAACATCAACAACAATAACATTACGCCTTATGGGAGCTCTGGTAGCGTAGTGCCTAAGGCACTTGACTGCTAACCAGATGGCTGGCAGTTCAAACCCATCAGCCACTCCTCAGAAGGAAGGTTGGGCAATCTACTTCTGTAGTGATCCCGCTTCGGAAACCCAAGGAGGGGTTGCTATGAGTCGGGTCCTACTCGACGGCACATAACAACAACAACATTATGCCTTATATATTGCCTCTGAAAGTCTGAATGAATCCATAATTGAAACGTTTGAAGTATAGCCTACTTTAAAAACTGTGGGTCATTTGGATTAGAAACCAAAAACCAAACCCACTGCCCTTGAGTTGATTCCGACTCATAGCAACTCTCCATTGGGTTTCCAAGGCAGTTGATCTTTGTGGAAGTAGACTGCCCAGTCTTGCTTCTATGGAGTGGCTGGTAGGTTTGAACCACCAACTTTCTGGTTAGCAACCAGAAGGCTTAGGCACTGAATCTTTTTAATGCAGATTTCAAAGACAGCTTTTAATAAAAAGAATAGTATATATGGATATAAAGTGATATATATATTAATTAGCGTTCTAGCAACTAAGGACTTCTTTCAAATGTCAACTTCTTGCTTAAGTTTTGATGAAATGTTATTATATCTTTCCTTAAAAGGATATTGTAAATGGAGTTATTTCTTCCAGTTTGTCAACATCAAATGAATCTTTAAACGTTACATTAGAGACTCACAAGAATTTCAGGAAATGTAGATATTGATGGTGTTAGTTATTGTGTCACAACTATAGCTTGATTGTGTCTTGGTTTGCTTTGCAGAATTAGGCTTTTACAACCTTTCGTTTTATTTAAAAAGAAAACAGCTTTATCAAGGCATATCTGACATTATAATAAACAACACAGCTGTACAATTAGATGTTTTGACGTATTTAAACATCCATGAATCCATCACCTCAATCAAGATAATGAATGCATCCATCACTAACAGTTTCTCTGTGTGTTTTTGTAATGTTTGCTTCCCACCCAAGGTGGCTTCACTTGGGAATGGTTCTATAATAAACATATGATGTATTGGATTTCTTTTTAA